TTCTACTTGGGAGATGTCTTGGACGCGTTTCTCTTGCTCCACGCTCGCGTTGCCACAGCACTGGCGAATGACGTGTACCCACTGCAACCCCGTCCTGCAGAAGAGTCCTGACTGTCCATCCAGTCACTCTGCTCCAAGCATTCCTGTCCCTCATGGGTCAGACTAACAGACATGGCACACTCTTCCATCTCTCTGCGACACCACACCTTGTCTTTAACCGAGAGGATTTCTTGCCCGTCGTGTAACATTCCCTGGCTTCCTTTCAGCAGAATTAAGCATTCCTTCACCTGGGCTCCCCCAAAACATTGTAATACCTCTATTTCTGAGTATTATTATCAAATCTTAATAAACCATAGCACATAGCATCTAAGAGAAACATCAATACTTGATGAATGAAAAATGAGTTAATGCATGAATGCAGAGAAGAGGTTGACGTCCCTTTTTAAGAAAAAGCTAACATAGAGTCCAGAAGTGATTCAATTAATGTCTCCTGGCTATTTAATGGGAAAAGATTAGGACCTGGGTGACTCCCTTATAATTACTTTTCAAAAAATTATTATTATTGCTTAGATATAGTTAACCTTTAAGTTTAGCTAGTAATTAACCATAACCTCATAGAAATAATGATGAAAAACTAAAAAAGGAATGTAGTACTAAGTTGTTGCATTTGAAACATTTATATGCATAAATTTCAAAACTCTTACAAAACAGAATTCCTATTCCTAAGGGCCACATCTTAATCTGCCTGGTTTAAAATACGACCTTCATGAGAATTGTTGTGCAAGTTATAAATTAGTATTGGGAAACATGGAGAGGGAAAGGAGTAAAATGCAGGGATCTTATCTGGCCATCACTGGTGGCTGGCATGGCGAGCCTATTCAAGGATATGGAAACAGCCCTCGGAAACTCCTCATACACAAATCTGAGGTGGTTTGTGCACACAGCACTCAGGTCTGCTAGAGTGTGAAAGAAGCTTAGAAGTAAGGTTGGATATGGAGCCATGTGGTGAAAAATTCTTTTTCCCTTAGTAAAATTAATGTGATAATAATAAGAAATATGATTTCAGAAAGTATCTATTAGAAGGAGAGTCAAATCTGGAGTTTTCTGTTATCCATATGAGAGAACAGAAGTCTAAATTATGACAATAAATTCAGGAAAGAAACGGAAGAGATAAAAAACAAATTGTAGCAGAATGAAGTGTAAGATACTCGCTACATTAATATGGCCACTATGAGTTTAACATAATGGTAATTTTGAAATAATCTATATTTATCTTACAAACAAAAATCAGAATGAAATTTTAAAAGTTACGCTTGTTTCCAGACAGGAGAGCAAACTATGTCCCACCTGCGAATCCTGTCTTGGACACAACAAGAGAACACTACACCAGAAGATGGGACCCTGAGAATGGGAACATCTGGGAGACCCTTGTAAACAGTAGGGTACGGGGACCCACGGCTGAAGAGGGCTGGGCCCCAGGCTGGGGTGAGGCAAGGGAGAATTCAGGGTTGCTGACTTTACCACCGCCCTGAATGGATCACTGTCCAACACGTCACCACTTCAGGGCTAAAAACAGCAATATAAAGCCACAGTCATGGATAGCAAGGTAGTTGATATGACACAGCATGTAGTCCAGCTGGTGTTGGAAATGGAGCTAAACAGGTTCCAGTACAAAGGCTCAGATTATCAAACAAACAGATACAAACAAATCCACACCTGTTTATACTATGGTAAAACGTAAGGATGTAAGAGACAGAACATTCTTAGAGGAAAAATATTAATCAGTTACAAAGAAATAAGAATTGGATTAACAGTGAACTCCCTCAGTAAAAAGTCCTAATAACCTTATACGTAAAGGAGCTAGAAAAAGAAGAACAAACAATTCCAAAATCAATAGAGGGAAGAAAATATAAGATGAGAACAGACATAAATGATATAGAAACTAACAAAACAATAGATCAATGAAACCAGGAGGTGGTTCTTTGAAAACTCTTAGCCAGACTCCTCAAAAAAGAGAGAGAGAGAGAGAGACGCACACAAAGGACTCAAAACCAGAAATGAAACAGGAGTAGTAACAACTGACAGCACAGAAATACAAAGGATTATAAAAGAATATTATGAAAAATTATATGCCAACAAATTGGACAACTCAGAAGAAATGGATAAAGTTCTAGAAACACATAACCTCCTAAAATTGAAGCAGGAAGAAATAGAAAATTTGAACAGACCGATTACCAGCAGTGAAACTGAATCAGTAATCAAAAAATTCCCAACAAACAAAAGTCCAGGACGAGATGGCTTCACACATCAATTCTACCAAACATTTAAAGAAGAGTTAATACCTCTTCTTCTCCAACTACTACAAAAAATAGAAAAGGAAGAAAAATTTCCACATTCATTCTATGAGCCCAGCATGACCCTGACACCAAATCCAGATAAAGACAAGAAAAATAAGAACTATAGGCCCATAACTCTGATGAGCATCAATATAAAAATCCTCAACAAAGTATTAGCAAACTGAATCCAATTCCACATTAAAAAAATCATTCACCACAACCAAGGAGCATTTATTCCTGGGATGCAAGACTGGTTCAGTATTTACAAATCAATCAACATGATACACCACATCAACAAGACAAAGGGTAAAAACCACATGATCCTTTCAATAGATGCAGAAAAAGCATCTGACAAAGTACAACATCCGTCCATGATAAAAACCCTCAAGGAAGCAGGTTTAGAGGGAAAATACCTCCACATAATAAAGGCCTTACATAAGAACATGCACAGGTAACACCGTACTCAAGGGTGAACAACTGAGAGCTTTTAGCCTACGTTCAGGAAGAAGACAAGGATGCCCACTCTCACCACTTCTATTCAATACACTACTGGAAGTCAGTCACAGCATTCAGACAAGAAAAAGAAATAAAAGGCATCTGACTTCATAAGGAAGAAATAAACTTCCGCTATGTGCAGACGATACGATACCATATGTAGAAAACCCAAAGGATGCCACCAAAAAAACTACTCAATAAATGAATTCAATAAGGTTGCAGGATAAGAAATCATAGAGAAATCAGGTGCAATTCTCTACGCTAACAATGAAGTAACAGAAAGAGAAATGAAGAAAACAGTGCCGTTTACAAGCGTACCAAAAATAACCAAATACCTAGGAATAAACTTAGCCAAGAAGGTCAACGACCTGTACTGTGAAAACCGGAAAGCAATGATGAAAGACACTGAGGATGGCACGGGAAGGAAAAAGGAAAAACATCCCGTGCTCACGGATTCAAAGAACAAACACTGTTAACGTGTGCAAACTACCCAAGGCAACAGACTGTGAGGTCTGTTTCTAGTCTTGGTAGCATGCTTGTGCTCTCTCTCGCTTGCTCTCTCTCTTTCTGTGGTGCACACACACACACCCCTAACAACTTGAAATTGCTATCCAGCATGGCTGAGATACCCCATTGATCCTGTCTTCGTAATGGAAAGTGGTCCTTATGCTCGATCCAGACAGACCTTGAGCAATGTCGAACACGCCTGTCTCTCCCACACCCACCCATCTGATGCCACCTGAGAGGACGCTGACTCTCCCGCAGCTCCCAGTGCCAGGACTACATTTCACACAAAAGAAAGTTCACACACGCTTAGTGCCTATGCACTTATAGATGTGAGTGCTGGCCAACCATTCTCAGTGATGTCTCACATTCAAGTTCACTTCACAAAGCAGAAGTCATTTGTTCTTCCCTGCTTCTGTTGCAGTTTATGATAAAACCAGTTCATGATTCATAAAGGCTGCAAATTAACCCAAAATGCATGGTCATTTTCTACTTCCTTCTTTCTTTAGTTTCAAACAACGTAAACATCACTCAGAAAGCTAAATCCAAACATAATACAAACATAATCCCAAAATTATAAAATACAATTTCTTTGTAAAATCAAGCCTTCTGACGGAAAAAGGCAGTCAAATTTCCCTGTATAATAAAGGACTGTGGCACTAAATGCATTTAACTTCCCACACTTCCCCTCCTGGTTATTAATTTAAAGGAAAGCAAAGGCTGGTTTAAGAATAGTAACTCTCCTGTGAACCAGTACAAAGAACGGATCAGGACCATGACTCCATATCAGGAATACGAGCAAGGTGATTCCTTGTACGGCCAGGGCAGAGGGGAGCACGGCGCAGGACACCAGGGCATGAAGCGCTGTCCCTGCTAGACGCCCCTCACACTGACTGTGTCAAGCTTCACCAGTGGGGCGATCCGAATGGAAGCAGTGATCCCAGTCAGCTGGGGGCAGTGCTTCCTGGGATTCCTGATGGTCCCCATGTGTTGAGAATGTCATAGCAACTCAAAATCACAATACTGTAAGGTTTGAGGATTTTGAATTTTTAGAAGCTTTTAACCTTTTTCATAGGTTCTGAAATTAGCTCTATTTGACATCCCTCATTTTAAAAGGTTAGACCTGAGATAGAGGCATTTTTACACTAACACTAAACTGATGGACTGTATAGTTTTGTTTTTGAATTCGAAAGAATAAATCCCTATTCAATAAGAACAGGAACCACAATATGCTAACGACTGCCTCGTGAGCAACTACTCTATCATCTACCATAACTACCCTACAATACAAAACTAAGTGGGTTCCAGCCGATGAACTGTTTCTCCTCAGCACTGTCAGTTCTGTGAAACATACCACCTTCACCAGCAGGTGCTGACTTTACAGAAAGAGGAAAGACAAGGCAAGCAGCGAACACAGTGACGTACAGCAGGTACAGGGGATGACCTGGCACGTCACCAGGATATGACAATCACATGGGTCACCCCACTTCTTGGGCTGATCTGCTTCTGTTACTATTATGTCCCCACCTCCTTCCAGGACAGTGGTGTACATAAGAGGCAGATCGACACAGAATTCTACCATCAGGGAAAATTTGGGGATAAAACTGGAAAAAAAGGACAGGGAGAAAAAAGGGGACCCGATCCGAATACTGTTCCAGTACTAACCTGGTTTAGTTTCTTCCAGAGATTGAGGACAGGGGACAGTTCGTTAGACCAGATTTCTCTATCAAATTTGCAACCAGCTGTTACTGATCTGCCCAAGATCCTCAACTGTGAAATAACCTAAAATAAAAACATAATAAGCAGAAAAAATTGAAAAGAGAGAAATAGTATGGGTCCAAAAATAGCTATATTTGTTTTATAAAAATAGAGACTAAATATAAACAAGTTTTAATCCCATTATCTCTATTCAATTGCCTTAACATGTAACTGATTTACTTAAGCAGTTAAAAAATAAAGAAAAATATATTTCGTTTGATTGACTCAACTTTATAATTTCAACATGCTGATTGATTAAAGATCGTTTTTCTGAAAAGAGGCAATGGTAGGAAAGATAGTAAATAGCATACCACACTACATCAAAGAGCAAAACAATTTTAAGTAATTATTTGTTGGTACAAATCATTACAAACCCAAGTTTTCGTGCTCTGTATTAACGTTAAGTTGCCACGTAAACGTTTCCTCTGCACGAAGACTCTAATGAAAGACGCACGGACAGGGGGGCGGGGTGCAAACCAGGCGAGGTACACAGTGCTTCCCACTGGGGGCGCCCCTTCCGCGACTTTCTGCTGATCCCCATCGAAATCCACTCACACACATTTCCTAACACCGTGCTCTGTGACGTGGGCTTCGGCAACGATAACTGACTTGCTACTTCTCCAGCAACGAGGCAGAGGTAATGAGGGTACTGATACCGGGCTGGAGGTATCGGGGTGGGTACAAAATCAGTGCGGTATCTGCGGGCTGCTCTTTACAAGCACTTCAACCCAATGTCAAAATTATGCTCTCAGTGCTTCTCTGACATAAAATAAACCCAAAACGAGAGGCATGTGTTTTCCAAAGCTACTATTTTTAACACCAACCTTTGCAGCATGCTGACTACATTTGTTTTATTTTTTGAAAAATAAAAGATGTAGATTGCAAGATTCGAAAGATGTAGATTGTTTTTCCTTTTTGAACAGATTGGGCTATATTTCATATTTGTTGGATGCTTGTATTAGTAAAGTTCTTAACAAAATAAGGGCCATAAATCTTTCAAAATCAACACACTACTCAATTGTTAAACATCCACCATCATGCTGTAAAACTCAAGTTACTTCTAGAGCTTTTGATTGATTCTCCCATCTTGAAAAAATCATGGTGATTCAGGGTTTCATTTTCTTTGTTTTTCTGATAAATTATTTTCATTTGCTCTAGCTGAACCCTACAACAGCAGCTAATTCATCAACTTTGCCACACCACAAAACACCGTTAGTTGGTAGTCAGAAGAAGTGCTATTTTAACTCTGGTAACATTCGCTATCACTTATTTGTATTTTAAATTTGTCAAACAAGCCAGAAAACAAATAAGGATGCAAAGGGATGTCTAAAGGAAAAGAGATGCAAACTTTTTTACAAGATGCTAAAAACTATTTTAAGAATAAAATACTTGCCAGCTCAAAAGGCCATGCTTTCTGTCCTAGAAAAACAATATGTGAGGTTTGCTTTTCCTAATAACACTATGATAATATACTATATTCTTTAACAAACAGATTAATAAAAAGAGAGTTCAAATACATAATGATATATTTTTACCATGAGAATAGACCTATAACTTAGAATTGTGGACCATCTTTTGTTTTTACAAAATCTCACATATTTATCTTTTTAAAAAGCACAGGTAATAAAATCTTCCCATTATTTACATTTTATTATTTTTTTTTTAATTTTTTTTTTTTCAACGTTTATTTATTTTTGGGACAGAGAGAGACAGAGCATGAACGGGCGAGGGGCAGAGAGAGAGGGAGACACAGAATCGGAAACAGGCTCCAGGCTCTGAGCCATCAGCCCAGAGCCTGACGCGGGGCTCAAACTCACGGACCGCGAGATCGTGACCTGGCTGAAGTCGGACGCTTAACCGACTGCGCCACCCAGGCGCCCCCCCATTATTTACATTTTAAACCAATTAAAAACTACTTTAGGGATGCCTGGGTGGCTCAGTTGGTTGAGTGTCAGACTTTGCCTCAGGTGATGACCTCACGGTTTGTGAGTTCAAACCCCGCGTCAGGCTCTGTGCTGACAGCTCGGAGCCTGGAGCCTGCTTCGGATTCTGTGTCTTCCTCTCTCTCTGCCCCTCCCCTGGCTTGCACTCCTCTGTCTCCCAAAAATAAATAAATATTTTTAAAAAAGTACTTTATTTGCTAACACTCCATTAAAATGGTGTCAAACAGGGTGGGATTCTCCACAAACAACACATTTACTTTGTTGTTCGTTTTGCCTTCTCTTGGCATAAAATGCTTCCCTGGCTTTCCTTTCCTTCCCTTGTCTTCTCTGTGGCTGACTTTGTCCAGTACTAATGTTACACTGACAGACTGCTTACATTTTCTAAGTCACCTCTGGTGTCATCCTTCTTGGAATGAGAGGGAATACAATATTTGAAAACAAACACTCTCAATTTACAGATGAGAAAATGGACTTTCAGAGAAACTGAACAGATTACATATTTATTTCTAGGGATGCGTCAGACGAAACACCTGGAGAAATCCTGTAACACAGCATGTGTAAAACCACAATTACACAACAGAATCAACAAAAAACCTTTTAAGATTTATGACTGAAGTACCTGGAACATTAAGGGAAGTCTGTATTTTTACCATTAAGTATTTTATTTTAATCCAGTGTGGCTAGTGCAGCGTTCTCACAGTCTCATGCATACAATACCGTGATTCCACGCCCCCGAGTGAACCATGGTGGTGCAGCTCATCTAGACCTATGCATCCAGAAGGCAGCATCTGCCCTGTGACATCGGCCCCTCCGAAAGGGCCTGGAGCTTGCGTTGCTGATTTACTTGCTATTATGCGTGACTTTCAGATTGACAGAAAAGTTGCACAAATAGTACAGAGAACTCCCTTCAGAGACTTCACCGTGCCCCCCTACGTCAGCATCTTACAATCAGTGCACAATGATCAAAACCAGGAAACTAACAAAGGCACAGTACTACCAACTAAGCTATTACAAGCCCTATTTCAACCTCACCAATTTTTCCACGAATGTCCTTTTTCTGTTTGAGGAGAATCTGGGATCGTATTGAGTTGTAATTTATCTGTAGTCCCACCCAAAACAATGAAAGTCAAGGAAAGGCTTTCATACCCTTGACACTTGTAAGCCATACTGGTCAATCACTCTGTAAAATGTCCCCTATGTGAGTCCAGTTCCTAAGGGTCAGAGTTCCAACGTTAAGACCTAGAAACCCAGATTGGAATGACTGGGACACACGGTTTGCTCCACCACGGCTTCGGGCTGACAGTGTGGGCTGCTGGAAACACCATCATCACGAACATTCCACACATCAACACCATCAAACTTCAGTGAATGAGACGCTGGAAGAAAATTACAGCAGCAAAGGCTTATGTTTAAAAAGACACAAAGTTTAAAACTGAGCCAAACTTAAATAACAAAGTTGAAAATGGAGATGGAAGTAAAAGGAGAAAAAAATATTTAATGAAAAGACAACTGATAGAAAAGAGAGCAGATAAAAAACCAAAAGTCACGGGCACCTGGATGTCTCAGTCAGTTACGTGTCTGACTCTTGATTTCGGCTCAGGTCATGATCTCATAGTTTTGAGTTCTAGCTCTGTATCGCG